ATTTCAATTATATACTAGTGAATTGTAGTTGTAATTTTGTAGTGGTAGATACGCTACAAGGTGATATAGATTATCAGAAACATACTTAAGTATCACCTAACAATCAAACTGGTTTCAAATGATTTTAATCTCACTTTCATTGCAATTGATATCGGTAATGATTCGTCGATTTTGATAACGTTTTATAATTATGATCTTACATTAATTTGAGAAAGCTGGAGAGTAGATTTTTTACATCATTTTTGTCGAGGGTTGTAAAACGGAGCACTCAGCTAATGCTAAAAAAAAAGTGGTGGTTAAAAGAATGTTCTCGATAGAAGTTAGTAAAAATAACAAAGCTAATAATTTTTATATTTTTACAGTGGCCTTTTCTTTAAAAAAAAATTTCGCCAATTTATTTGGAAAATAACTTTGAATAATGTATTCTATCTTAAGAGACGTAAAACAAAGGAACCTGGATTAGTTACGTCATAAATATAAAAATTCATTTCTCGGAAGGAATTTTTTTTTTCTCCAAAGATTATAGAGTCAAACTAAATTTGTTCTTGGAAAAACCATTCTTGTTTTGCGAGATTATTTTACCATTTTCAACTCTACTCTTAAATAATCGAATTTAAAAAAGCATAATTTTGAAGCCCAGTATATAAAGACAATTCGACTTAAAAAAAAACTTTTAAAACGTTAATGTATGCGTTGTTTTATGTCGAAATCAAAAGTTTGAGAATTGGATTGTAAAACTTGAAAATATTCGATCGAAACGTTGCTCGATCTCACCAATCTAAAATTTACTTCGAAATTTTAGAAATTTACTCCGAAATTTTTTTTTTGCATCTTAATCCACTCATTTAATCACATCAGTTATAATAAATTTAACATTTTTAATTTAGTTCCTCGTATGAATCAGCTAATTTTACATTTCTCTTATTATCTCAAACAGCAAAAATGATCCAACCAAGCTCAAACTCATAACTATGTGTTCCAGATTTTCGATCTACTTCAATTAAACTAACTGATTTACCTGAATTGAAGGAAAAGTATTGCTTCTCATTCTTCTATAAAAAATCTGAAACACGGCAGTAGTTTTTATTCTTCAAAAAAATTTAGAGTGACCGAGATCTTTTTTTTTTACATTTTTGTATTGAAGCATTAAAATTAGTTTCACACATTTTTCAAAGTGAATTTCTCCAAATGATATGAGTTTTTATTAAAACCTATTTAAAAATTAGGAAGGGAGGAATTTTTGACATTTTAACAGGATGTTAACAAAATGACTCTTTAAAATACTAATCATGCTAAAAAGTTCCTCCGTCAGAAAATTTTATCAAAATAAAATGTGAAATATCGAAATTGTTTTTAGTTTTTCTATAATTTTTTATTTACGCATCATTTTTTTAAAATCCAATTTCACAAAATTTGAAAGCTAAGTTTTAAATCTAGAAGAAAAAGAAATTAATTCGTGATAGAAATTTGCGCTTTCTTTAACATAGGGAATAAAAAACTTATTAGCATTGTATCTATTTCATAGAAAATTACAGAAAAAAAACCCAACGTATTCCGCCACTGATAAGCAGCATCGTTCATCAATTAATCTTTTGCGATGGCGACTGTTCTACGTTTGCAATCAAACATAATTCCACAAGGGAAATATTTTAGATACTTTATCACACGACTTGGAACTGATAAACACGTAGATAAAGTATGATACGTCACATTTGAGACTGTTATTTCCAAATTTACGCTAAATTGAATTTTTCTCAATTACTACTCCTTCAAGTGGTTTTCAATGTTCATTATGAAAAAGGAAATTATTTTTACGTAGGAAAACGATCAAGGAATGCCAAGAACCTACACAGCATAACTATTGGAATAGCTTTTGATTTCAAAAATAATAAGGCATGTTTCAGGTAAAAAAAATATTCTTTAGCAATGGATTGCAAGAAATTGAATGGCTAATTTGAACACAGTTTAATGTTAGATAAAAATTGGGGGGGGGG